CTGACCTGCACGATGATGTGTTCATTCATTCGCTGACCTGCACGATGATGTGTTCATTCATTCGCTGACCTGCACGATGATGTGTTCAGTCATTTGCTGACTTGCATCATGATGAGGTACTCATTTATTCGCTGAACAAACAACCTGACAGGGCATTCTTCACCACCTTTTCCTTTGCTAAAATAGCAAATTTTAAGCCCTGCAGTATACCAACTGACAGGCTATAGCTGTCTACCAGTCCGTTTAGAGTCCACTGCTGATCTCCCCTCCTTTTGTCTGGCTGACTTTCACAGGGCAACATGAGTGAGCCCTTCGACTGCGTCGGCTGCAAAACCTCCCTGTACGGCCGCAGGTTCATCTTGGTGAAGGAGCAGCCGCACTGTGTTCCCTGCTATGACAAGCTGTGCGCTAAGACCTGTGCGGGTTGTGGGCAGCCGATTGGGCACGATTCCATGGTGTGTATCTGTACAGGGGGAGGACTTTACTCATAGCCTCTGTACGGGGGAGGGCTTTACTCATAGCCTCTGTACGGGGGAGGGCTTTACTCATAGTCTCTGTATGGGGGAGGGCTTTACTCATAGCCTCGCAGCAGTTTTACTTTACATTCCCTGCACACTGGTTATGTCAGAATAAAAGCACCATCCTGCTCAGGTAAAGAACATCATCTGCAAGGATTCTCATCATCTTTTCTCATCATTTCCCCTCTTGTATCTAGGAACTTTTCTTTGAGGACAAGCACTATCATGAGCGCTGCCTCCGCTGTTTCCACTGCCAGTTGTCCCTAGCTGACCAGGCTTTCAGCAGCCAGGAGGGGGCACTGCTGTGTAAAGACTGCCACTCCAGGGAGTTTGCCACACAGTGTCACGCCTGTAATATGCCGATTTTGCCAGGTAAAAGACACTTCTGCTACTTGACATACCATTGCATCACTTACTACCTTAAAGATAGTTTACATTTTTTTCCTGAGCTGACAATGGACATTTGTTGCCAGCGTCTAGATTCTTTAGTTCCCCCTTATTGGCCTCATCTCATTAGTGTCTTTCCTGCATGGGGTCCATCACTGTACATTATCATTGCTCCACAGTATGATCCCTCATCTCCACTTTCTAGGAACACGGAGGCTGGAACTCGACGGGGTCACATGGCACGATGCCTGCTTTATCTGCCAAAGCTGTAAGAAGCCAATTGGATCCCAAGGATTCTTCCCACACAAAGGCCAGTACTTCTGTGTGGCATGTCATGAGAACAAGATGTCACCCCGGTGTAAGCACTGCAAGCAGGTGAGACAGTCTACACCGCAGGGAGCAGTGTATAGGCATTACTGGCGTAGAAACCAGTACAGGGTTGGTTCAAGGAGCAAATACCAGCATGGCAGTGCCCCTGCCCTGAGCAGTGTATTTCCTGATAGGCACTCCCGGAGGGTGGCGTGATCTACCAGGGCGTCTTCTGGCACAGGAAGTGCTTGCTCTGTGCTTCCTGTCGTGCCCCGCTGGCTGACCAGAGCTTCACCTCCCATCAGGACAAACCGCACTGCCTGTCCTGCTACAACAGGCTGTACACCAATAACTGTGAGGCGTGTGGGGAGCCCATTACAGGCAGGTGTCCGTCACAGAAATGCACATGAAGGTAGCCCGAGGTGCAGGCAGTCCCCAGGTTAAGAACATCTGACTTACGGGCAGCTCGTACTTATGAATGGACTGCCATAAAACCTATTATATAAAAAAAAATTGTGTTAAATACAGTGGCTCGTAATAATTAACATGTGCACTGCTTTGTGATGCTCCTGAAAACATTGTGTGCCTTCAGCGGTTAGTCATCTCGAGGTGCAGTACAATACTGTACAGTTATGTACAGTAATGTACTTACTTTTTATTACAATATAATTATTAAGTACTGTATTGTTTTTCCGACCTACATACAAATTCGACTTAGGGAACAGAACTCATTCGTAACTTGGGAACTGTCTGAACTGCCTGTACTGCATTTACAGTGAAGGGCGTCATATTGCCTGCATCCACGAGGTCTGTTTAGTGCTGAGCACTGAAGGTGTGTCACTCTCCTGCAGGTCAGGAGGAGGTGAAGTACATCACTTTCGGGGAGCGTCAGTGGCACCGGGCCTGTTTTACCTGCTCACTCTGCACTGTGTCACTGGTGGGCGTCGGCTTCTACTCCTCCAATGATCGCATCCTCTGTGGTGACTGCAATAGGACCCAGTGAGCTGTGCAGACTCTGCCCCCTGAGCCGCTTCGGCACCAGTCGAATGTGATCTGAAGCTAACTAATAAACCGATCTTTTCCCTGCAGCAGTCTCACTACCCGCAGTTCAGCTGCACCCAGCCAAATGTTACCTCAGAGCACAACCTCTGACACGTGTTGAGATGTCTTTCAGCCTCAAAGTTGTTGATCAATAGTGCTAAACCTTCTTGCGCATAAGCAAAGAGAAGGGGCTTCAGGTCGAGTTGATTCATTCATCATTTTACTTTCACTATGTGTGAACAGTATTTACCTACACCTCTAAAGTTCTTGTGTTTTCTGAGTAATGGATGAATGATCTATGGCCTGTTTGATGATCTATCTTTGTTTAGAAGTATTTGTCAGGTTTTTCATTAATTTCATACTAGTGAATCAGTCACTGTATGCCTAACACTGTGCATATTTACGAAATAAAAGTATATTTTCCTCTTCTGTTTGGCATTCATATTTTCACAAGTTGATGTGTGAAGTTGCACTTTCAAAGACACAAAATGAACTACTTCCTACAGTAACCCTATTTAACACCATATACAAATAATTGTGGCAATTTACTCACTTGGGAAAATTCTGTACAGAGACCATAAGTGTAGTGTACATATTTTCTGGCTTTCAGAAGCTAAATGGCAGCAAATACACATGCACACACACAAATCTATACATACCACTTTAAGTTAAGTGATTTGTTCTTGCCATTGTACAAACGGCTTTCCTGCTGTTATGGCAACGTACGCAAACAGTCCATTGCACTGTGTGGAAAGTGCATTACGGTGGTGAGAACATTGACTTCTCTATTTATTTTTACATTAATGCTCAAATATAATAGTACATAGCATTAGCTCAAAAAAATGAAAAAGCGCATCGAATTTTACAGTGAATGGAAATGACTCGTTAGGGTTGTGGTTGTGCGTCCATCTAGTTTAAAATGCAAAGGCCTCTATTTCCTAATAGCTGCTTACAATTTAATTCGTATTTATTTGTGGGACAGAGTAATTATTGCATGTACGGCAAGCACACTAAACGCAGAAATGTCAGCAGAAATAAAAGATTAACATATCCGCTAAGTCTTGTGTTTCTCTCGAAATTGTGTATGTGACACTAATGAGGAAATGGCACGGGTTACGTTTTTGCGTGCAGGAATTTACAGACGGTTCAACGCACGCCATCGAGACATTGCCCATGTCATTCAGAAAGAGATGGAAATTATGATTATTTTCAAGTATTCGGTCGTTTTAAGTTCGTTCTACTGAAAGTTTAATATTTTCCGGGGGCGTTAATTATCCTGCTTATGCTGGAGTCAATGGCGTAACTTTGGCTGGAACATTGGTTGGGGGGGGGGGGGGGGGGGGGGG